GCAGTCTGATGACTTGGGGTTAGAAGCTGTTAAGGTGCCTTTTGGTTCCAAACTTGGTGCTCCGGTACCGCTTGCAATGTGATAGCAGAGAGAACAGTCTATGACTTGGGCGGCTGGAGTTTTTAGGGCCTTCCTCTGACACCACCTGGTATAGAGGTCCAGGATGGCAGGAAGCTTGGCCCCAGTGATGTACTGGGCCGTACGCACTACCCTCTGTAGCGCCTTGTGGTCGGATGCCAAGCAGTTGCCATACCAGGCGGTGATGCAGCCAGTCAAGATGCTCTCGATGGTGCATCTGTAGAGCTTTGAGGATTTGAGGGCCCATGCCAAATCTTTTCAGCCTCCTGAGGGGAGAAGAGGCTTTATAGTGCCCTCTTCACGACTGTCTTGGTGTGATTGGACCATGATAGATCCTTAGTGATGTGGACACCGCTCCTCTACAGCCCTGTCGATTTGAATGGGGACGTGTTCAGTCCTCCGTTTCCTGTAGTCCACGATCAGCTCCTTTGTCCTGGAGAACCTTGAAGTGTTCTTATCAGCTGTGTAAAGTGCATTTATTAGCGTGCGTGTGAGTCAGAGAGAGAGAGAGAGAGAGAGAAGACTATGGCTGGGACCTATGCAGACTGATAGTTGTGCTGACCTGAGGAAACACTATTGATCTGTAAAGGATTGGACCTGACCTGTCCTGCTGGACCATCTATCTAGTGTTATCGCTCACTCTCACCGTGCTCCCTGGGTTGGGCTGTAGAGAGGTACTGTCTCTCACCGTGCTCCCTGGGTTGGGCTGTAGAGAGGTACTGTCTCTCACCATGCCTCCCTGGGTTGGGCTGTAGAGGAGGTACTGTCTCTACCAACCGTGGCTCCCCCTTGGTTGGGCTGTAAAGAGAGGTAACTGTCCTCCTCAACCGTGCCTCCCTGGGTTGGGCTGTAGAGAGGTACTGTCTCTCACCGTGCTCCCTGGGTTGGGCTGTAGAGAGGTACTGTCTCTCACCATGCTCCCTGGGTTGGGCTGTAGAGAGGTACTGTCTCTCACCGTGCTCCCTGGGCTGTAGAGAGGTACTGTCTCTCACCATGCTCCCTGGGCTGTAAGAAGGGGACGGTCCTCTCACCATGCTC